GCGTTTTGTCCACTCCGAAGTGCCCATTCTGGTCATGATGCTCGCGTAGCAGGAGATGACGAAGCTTGCGCTCTGCGGGGACGCAGATGACTCGGGAATCTGCCTTATACCAAAAGGGGGATTCGTAGAAGACAGATTTATCATCAGCGGCAGAGTAGAGATAGAAACGGTCACGACGATACCCTTTGGTAAATTTCTTGATGAAGCTTTCGTCCCATGTGACGCTTCCGATGGTGGTGAGCTGAGGTTGAGGAGGCCGGGTCAAAGAATCAGCAGGGTTGAGGCGGCCAGCGCGGTATTCGATTTTCAGCTCCGGTACGTACTGTTCCAGGTACTCCATCCATCGGGCCTGCCTCGGGGTGAGATGGGGCTGCGTCTTCAGGTATTGCAGGGTGCAGTGATCGGTAAGAACAGTGACGGGCTGCATGTGAACATAGCAGCGCCACTTCTTGATTGCATGGACGATGGCCAGCGCCTCGCGATCGTGAGTTGCATAGTTGCACTCGGCAGGTTTGAGTTTCCGGGACTCGATGGCGATAGGCTGAAGGCCATGCCCTTGATCTTGACAAAGGATTGCACCCGTTGCAACCTGAGACGCATCTGTCCATATCACGTAGGGAAGGGAGGGGTTGGGTAGGGCTAGAGTAGGAGAAGAGGTTAGTGCACAATTGAGAGCATTGAAGGCAGTTTGCTGGTCAGAGTCCCAATGGAATGGTTCACTCTTGCGAAGGAGGTTGGATAAGGGAGAGGTGATGGCAGCAAAGTGTCGAATGAACTTGCGGTAGTAGTTGGCAAGACCAAGGAAGGCTTGCAATTCCTTGATAGAGGTTGGCTCCTTCCATTCTCTGATGGCTTGGACTTTGGAAGGGTCCATAGCAAGCTGGTTGTGTGAGATGATGTGGCCCAAGAAAGGAATCGAGGGCTTGGCAAACTCACACTTGCTCTGTTTGGCGAAGAGACGATGCTCACGAAGCCGTGTGAAGACTTGCCTTAGATGCTCGGCGTGTTCCTTCAAGGATTTGCTATAAATCAGAATGTCATCGATGAAGATGATGACAAACCGGTCCAAGAAATCCCGAAAGACACTGTGCATCAAGGACATGAAGGTGGCAGGGGCGTTCGTTAGTCCGAAAGGAAGCACGAGAAACTCGAAATGCCCATACCGTGTTCGAAAGGCGGTTTTCTCGATGTCTTCGTCAGCGACACGCACTTGATGGTAACCGCTTCGTAGGTCCAGCTTGCTGAAAATTGTGGCCTCACCAAGTTGATCAAAGAGTTCTTCCACTCGAGGTAGCGGGTAGCGATTCTTGACTGTGATTTTGTTGAGCGCACGGTAGTCAACGCACATGCGCGTGCTGCCATCTTTCTTTTTGACGAAGAGAATCGGTGCTGCATAGGGAGAGGAGCTGACGCGGATGAAGCCCTTCTCAAGGAGTTCCTCCAACTGCTTCTGGACTTCTTTCAGCTCGGCAGCACTCATCCGGTACGTAGCACGAACGGTAGGTTCAGCACCGGGTTGTAAGATGATGCGATGATCGATGGTACGCTTCGGAGGAAGTGAAGAAGGAAGATCCGTAGGGAAGATGTCTTTGAACTCATTGACAACCTGTTGAATTTCAGAAGGGATTTCAGCAGCCTTGGGAGGGGAAGGGAGAATAGGAGTTTCTGAAATTTGATTCAAAAAACAGAGGGAGAATTGAGAGCTTGGGTCCTTGAGGGATTTTTTTAGTTGCCGTTTTGAGAGGAGGTTGCAGCAAGTGGGGGTAGAGGAGGAGGAGGAGAAGGTAGGTAAGGTGATGTCTCTTCCAGAGTGAGATATGGTGATGGTTCCAAGAGTCCAATCAATCTTGGGGTTTTTTAAGGAAAGTCAGTCACGTCCAAGAATCACTTCATGGTCTCCGAGAGATGCTTGCTGAAACTGAATCTTGTCTCGGTAAGGTCCGATTGTACAAGAAACAGGGAATGGTACTTGTCCACATGAAATCGAGGTTCCGTTCGCCATCAGCACTGTTTGAGGTATGGAATCAGGTTGAGTTGGAAGAGAAAGCTTGGAGAGTAGAGAGGAGGAGATGAAGTTAGAAGAGGCAGCACTGTCAATTAGAGCTTTCACTCTCTGACCACGAATCAGCATGGAAAGGAGAAGAGGTTCAGAGGGATTACGAATTTCAAGGGAAGAGATGGTGGGGCAGGCATAGTCACCAGAAAGTTGCCCCGAGTTTACTGGCGACTTGAGTTTCCCGGCGTTGGAAGGATGGGAGGCTGATTGGTGCGTTGGCGGCAGACCTTCCACACGTGCCCTTTCTTGCCGCACTTGTAGCACACGATGGCTGGCCTCGGGTTTCTCTTCCTCTTCTCCATCAGGTCCAGGTCCATAGGAGCAGATTCTTGAAGATTGGAGTCCGTTGTTGTAGAGGGCTGGTAGGAGGGAGCAAACGGGAGGAACGGGCTACGAGGAAAGCGAGGCTTGTTGTATGCGTAATGAACAGAATCATACCGTTCAGCCACGCGTATCATTTCCTCGAGCGTAGAGCAGTCCCTCAGCTCAACCTCCATGCGCACGTTTGTTTTCAGCCCGCGCTTGAAACGATCCATCCGTTCAGCATCAGAAAGGTCCGGGATCTCTTGAGCGATGTCACGGAAGCGAGAAGCGTAATCTTGAACAGATTTGAGTTGCTTCAGAGCAGCCAAGGCGTCTCGTGCTCGGATGTTCGGGTTCACCGGTTGGAAGGTTGCAGTGAAGATAAGCTTGAATTGATCCCATGATTGGATGGTCGCATGCACGGATTGCCACCAGGTGATAGCAGATCCACGAAGAAGGGTGCCGGTGAAAGCAGTCCACTCGGCAGGTACTATGTGACTAAGGAGCAGGAATTGCTCAACAAGAAAGAGCCAACGGCTCACGACTGGTTGGTTTCTCCCGGGAAAGAAAAGATCAGGAAAGGCGGGTCTAGCGCGCTGATTTCCGTCTGGCGGTGCAGCAGGGCTCGAGTTTGCTGCCGCCACTCCAGCTGCAGCTACACTAGCTTGCATCTCTGCTTGCAAGCTCTCTCTAACTTCAGCAACAATTTGGGCACGGTACGTTTGCAAGTAGGTAGCCCATTCATCACGAGAAGGTACCTTACTAGTCGCCATGACGCTGTTCTCAAGAAAAAGAGGATCGAAGATATCTCGGATACCAAATGAAACAGCCACTAAGCTGTTTGGGCAGAGTAGTAGTAGTAGGAAGTGCTCTTAGGAGAATTTCAGGATGAAAGTAGTAAGATAGCTTTACAAGAGATCATATGATGGCATACATTTCAGAGATGCATCCTAATATACTAGGATACTAGCATGGGCGCCTCGAGCTGGTCGCTCACGTCGCCATTATTATTCCAAGAGCTAAGAACAGCAAGGCATAGTCACTATGATTATGTACACAAGATACTAGCCTTGTTGTCATATCCTAGAACCAATTAGCAAAGTCTAGGAATTCACTAAAGACACAGGCAGAGATTATTTGTCTTGTTGTCGTTCATGTTGTCGTTGATAATGATGACCACAAGCTCCGTTGGAAGTAGTCATGGCTGTAGGTAACTATGCTTGCTTGTGCTGTCAAGTACGTTGCTGCGCTGTTGGAATTCTCTGCCGTGTTGTGTCCAGCAGTAGAGTGCTCTCTGGAGTTGTTCCCACGGTTGGAAACTCAGAAAGTCGGGTCACACATTTCAATGTTGGAGTTCCAACATTGAATTCCCGAAATGCACTTAGGGTGTGTTCCGAATTCTGGTTCGGATCACAAGGAGCTGAGTTGGCGAAATCGAGGAAGGCGAGATCGCCTTCGTCTTGTTACAAGTACCACACTTTAACGGCGTTAGCAGCACTAGCAGTACTTGTAGTACTAGCAGTCGTTCTTATCGACCAACGCTTAAAGCGAGCAGGTAAAATAGTGAAGGGAGTCCCAGTTTGAAACTCTGGCACTGTTTCAGGAGGGTGCTCCCTGCTCGACAAGAATCGAACAACTGTTCATGAACACATTGTAATTTTCTAAAGAGAAGCAACCATCAGAATCTGATTGGACGGCGAGGTTTTGGTCCCCTTACGATCCAGGGCATTGGTGGGCGTGTTCGCCAATTCAATCCATGTAAAGCGAAGGCTAACATGTGCGACAGAGGAAACGGATTGAAATGTGCGCAAAGAGGGGAGTGGGGAACACGATACGAACTAACGTGTGAGAACAGAGCCACCAAAAAATGAGAGGGGGGCAGGACAGAGCTTGACTGTTCCAGTGGGCCCAAACTTGCTCTTCAAAGTGGACCTGGGTTCCACGCTACCAAGTCTAAACTCACTAGCGCCACGGATACGGCACTAAACGCGGAATAAAAAGGGTAGCGTATTCAGTCACGAAACCGTTCAACGAAAGCGAAGCGTGCTTAGACTCATATTTCGGGAGCAAACGGTCATAGCTGCTGTTCTTGAGACTCTACCTCTTGGCGTGTTCAGTCTCTGCGACAAATAAAGTGACGGCATTGATCATTCATTCCGCTAGCAAATAAAACACCAGGTACGACCTTTGCTTCAGAGGATAGAAGTAGCGAACGGGCACGACCCCCACTGTAGGCCGACTCTCCTGCATTCGAGGGGCAGCGCAAGCATCTGAGTTGCGTATGCAGGCTTAGGTACGGATTGCACGGCACATCGCCTATGCTACTCGTGTACGAACGGAATGCTAGGGTGCGCTGCGCCCATTATGTGATTTAGGGTTGATTCCAATGCCACGTCGCCCCAAAGAAGTTGCGGTCTCCCGGAGTGCAAGGCAATTCGACGCGCCTCCGCGTTTTCGGAGATCGCAAGGCACTGTGCCCCGCCACCTCGCACTCATACGGATTGCTACGCACAGCGCCACACCTGCTCGTTTTAAAACGGATTGCAAGGCACCGCGCCGCGCCTGCTCGTTTCCAGACGGATTGCAAAGCACCGCGCCTCACCTGCGCATTTCCATACGGATTGCAAGGCACCACGCCGCGATGCTCGTTCTCAGACGATTTGCTCGGCACTGTGTTGCGCTGCCTCTTTTAGGGGCGGATTTCCAGGCACTGTGCCGCGCCTGTTCGTTTTCAACCCTTTCTTGCACTGCAGTGCACCGCGCCGCCACCTGCCCAGACGGATTGCAAGGCACTGCGCCGAAACTGCTCGTTTTTATCCAGGCTGCAAGGCCCTGCGCCGCACCTGCTAGTGTTCAGGCAGATTGCAAGGCATTGCACCGTGCCGGCTCTCTTCCAGACGGATTCCAAGGCAGGTTGCTGCCTTGCCCCACTTCCCGTTTTACCTCTCACTTCCCATTTCCCCTTCCCCTTCTGCTGCCCTTCCCCATATACACAGTCACTGCCCATTTCCCCTTCCCCCAATCCCTCCCCATTTCCCCATATCCCATCCACTCCCCATTTCCCCTTACCTCCATCCCTCCCCATTTCCACAATTCCCAATGACTCATCATATCCCCTATCCTCCCCATCTCGGCATCCCTCTGCCACTCCCCATTTATCCAACCCTCTGTCCTTCCCCATTTCCTCGTTTCGCAGTCACTCCTCATATCCCGTTTCGCCCAGTCCCTCCCCATTTCCCCGTTCTCCAGTCACTCCCCATTTCCCTTTTTCACAGTCAGTACCCATTTCCCCTTCCCTCAATGCCTCCCTTTCCATATCCCTGTTTCTCACTCCCCTTTACCCCCTCCATCTGGTCCCTCCCCAATTCGCCTTCCCTCTGTCCCTCCCCAATTCGCCTTCCCTCTGTCCCTCCCCAATTCGCCTTCCCTCTGTCCCTCCCCAATTCGCCTTCCCTCTGTCCCTCCCCAATTCGCCTTCCCTATGTCCCTCCCCAATTCGCCTTCCCTCTGTCCCTCCCCAATTCGCCTTCCCTCTGTTCCTCCCCAATTCGCCTTCCCTCTGTCCCTCCCCAATTCGCCTTCCCTCTGTCCCTCCCAGCGTTCCATCCAGTCACGCCTGCGGCGCCCCCGCTGACTTAGCCATCAAGCCGCTTGACAGGCCTGATTCTGACACGACTTCTCGGGTGTACTAGTGTGAGTGTCCCCGAATCCTGGTACGTACCTGGTATGTACCTGGTGTGTGCCTGGTTTTCGCCCGTGCGCCCCCCCTTACCCTTCTCATCCCCACTCCCCTTGCCCCCTGTCCATCCCCACTTCCCTTTCCCCCTGTCCATCCCCACTTCCCTTGCCCCCTGTTCATCCCCACTTCCCTTTCCCCCTGTCCATCCCCACTTCCCTTTCCCCCTGTCCATCCCCACTTCCCTTTCCCCCTGTCCATCCCCACTCCCCTTTCCCCCTGTCCATCCCCACGTCCCTTTCCCCCTGTCCATCCCCACTTCCCTTTCCCCCTATCCATCCCCACTCCCCTTTCCCCCTGTCCATCCCCACTTCCCTTTCCCCCTGTCCATCCCCACTTCCCTTTCCCCCTATCCATCCCCACTCCCCTTTGCCCCTGTCCATCCCCACTTCCCTTTCCCCCGGTCCATCCCCACTTCCCTTTCCCCCGGTCCATCCCCACTCCCCTAAACCCCTGTCCATCCCCACATCCCTTTCCCCCTGTCCATCCCCACTTCCCTTGCCCCCTGTTCATCCCCACTTCCCTTCCCCCCTGTCCATCCCCACTCCCCTTCCCCCCTGTCCATCCCCACTTCCCTTTCCCCCTGTCCATCCCCACTTCCCTTTCCCCCTGTCCATCCCCACTCCCTTTTCCCCCTGTCCATCCCCACTTCCCTTTCCCCCTGTCCATCCCCACTTCCCTTTCCCCCTATCCATCCCCACTCCCCTTTCCCCCTGTCCATCCCCACTTCCCTTTCCCCCTGTCCATCCCCACTTCCCTTGCCCCCTGTTCATCCCCACTTCCCTTTCCCCCTGTCCATCCCCACTCCCCTTCCCCCCTGTCCATCCCCACTTCCCTTTCCCCCTGTCCATCCCCACTTCCCTTTCCCCCGGTCCATCCCCACTCCCCTAAACCCCTGTCCATCCCCACATCCCTTTCCCCCTGTCCATCCCCACTTCCCTTGCCCCCTGTTCATCCCCACTTCCCTTTCCCCCTGTCCATCCCCACTTCCCTTTCCCCCTGTCCATCCCCACTTCCCTTACCCCCAGTCCATCCACACACCCCTTTCCCCCTATCCATCCCCACTTCCCTTTCCCCCTGTCCATCCCCACTCCCCTTACCCCATGTCCATCCCCACTCCCCTTTCCCCCTGTCCATCCCGACTTCCCTTTCCCCCTGTCCATCCCCACTCCCCGTTCCCCCTTGTCCATCCCCAGTTCCCTTTCCCCCTGTTCATCCCCACTCCCCTTTCCCCCTGTTCATCCCCACTTCCCTTTCCACTGTGTCCATCACCACTCCCCTATCCTCGTGTCCATCCCCACCTCCCTTTCCCCCTCGCCACTATCTCATCTCTGTCGTGCCTCTCACTTGCCACCAGCAAAGCACACCTTCTGCATCGCAATTCTCTTTCTCACCCTTCAATCCAGGCGGAGCTCACATGTCCGGCACAGAGAGGGGCGGTGGCGACGAGGGTACCGGCCGTGCTGCCTTGGTGCAGGCTGGTGAAGCCAGCGTGACTGAGACTGCCAATGCATTGCACAGGTTGCTGGATAAAAGAAAGCTCACTCTCAGCTGTCACTTGACCACACCATGGGCCATCCTCCGCTGCGGATTGGCAAGCCTCATGGGAGGTGGTTGCGTGCTACGGGATAGTGATATGGTATTCTTGTTCATCGAAGCTGCCCCCGCTCTTGTTGACTATTTACTTGACGCGGCCTCTACTGCAGGTATGACAAATAAATCAATATGCTCTTTGCCCAGGTCCTAATGCCCTTCCAAACCATCCTTTCCCATCCGGCTGTATGGGAAAGAATCCGTTTCAATCTGATTCACCTAGCTGCTCATGCTTTTCCATAATTTTCAGAGACATGCACCTCTCACCCCCTCCCATCCTGCTGCTCGCATGTTCATCCCTTCCAAATCCCCATTCTGATTTGCATCACAAGCTCGATCTAAATTCATCATGTTGTTCACATGCTCATCCCTGTCAATCTGATTTATAAATTTGCTAAATGCCTTGTGCCCATTTGAAGGGGAGAGGGGATACGGCGTCAAGTCTTCGTTCAAGGCGGGTGTGGATGCACACGCGTCATCGGTGCGAGTTAAGAAGAGAGGCCAAGGATTTCCTACAGTTAGGGAGCTTTATTCCCTCCACCCAACACCAATCGGTGGTTTGGTGTACAGCTTCATCACAACGCCGGAGGAGCAAAACGACGCTGAGCCGGTGCCTGGGTTTAGATGGGGTGGGGCCAGACGTGGAACAGCCTATCAGTCGCTGAAAACATCCGGTAAGATGCTATCTCCTTGTGAGTGCTGCATTGTAATTGTCCTGCATTGTTACATAACATGCGTTACCTCGCTCACATATTTCTGGATGGGTAAACTTTTATACGATTATAACATGCTCTGTGTGTTCTACCTCATTTCCAAATGTCTCCCCTACGTTCTAACCCACATTTTCAGTGCCCGGCACGTTCCATCAAAGGGCGCGGTCAAAGTACCCACGGCATCTGCCACGCGTTACAACCCGCGCAGGCACGCTGCGGGAGCCCTACTCTGGCATGACGCAGCAGGATATGGCAGGCGGAATCACGAGCGAGGATGTTGAGGATGGGCTGCCGGAGGAGGCAGCCGCAGAGATCGATGGAAGCAACGAGGGGCGCGGCGGTGAGGACCAAGAACCTGCGGCTACTCGCATGGGTGTCATGAGGGGTCGATACATGCCGACAAGTGGGGGAGGTGCGACCCATGTGATGGAAGAATCAGCTCCAACAACGACACCTGCCACGAAGTGAGATGGACGAGCATGGTTACTGCAGTTAGCGTGCTATTCGGAGTAGTTATCGAACATGTTAGTTCGAGTACGATTTTTAATGCAATCATCAATGCGTCCATGAAACCCCAAACGCCCAACAGTGACGATCCCCGTCATCAAGGTTTCGGATGTGGTGTCCCGCAAGGCTGGCCATCTTCACCGAGCCTTACTAACCTTAGTAAGGGTACAATGTGCTACTTGGACAGTGTATGGTTTGTAAGGTTGATGTTGCTCTTCTCTCTTCAGTGCACTGCTGGTGTAGCGTGCGGGGGGACGATGCTCTTACAGTCATGGAAGAGGTCTTTGGGGGCATTTGGGCTGTTATGGAGGTGCTTGAGGTGTAAGCGCACAGAAGTTTGGTGGAATTGTAATCGTGAGTCGGATGTGGGTCAGGCATCAAAGAAAGGGCCAAAGATGCCGTGGCTCACCCGCACTGTGATGGGAGCATACGTAATAAGTGGTTGTGGGTACCAGACCCTAGAGTCCGTGTCACGCAACCTCGGTATCCCGATCCCTGCGGCGGGAACATTCTATTCGTATATGAAGAGCCCGCATGGTCTTTGGGCTAGTATTGTGCGTCAGAGTGAGTTATCGATGGCGAGAGCGAGAGAGGAAGTCAAGGCTAGGGGTGAACAACAAATATCGATAACCGCGGATGGAAGGTGGTCACAGGCGCGAGAGGGTGAATGGTGTACAGTGTCACTCATGGATAGGGAGACGCGCAAGGTACTTCATTGTGTAACAATCAACAAGCATCGGCATGGTATTTCCTCAACAGCAATGGAGAATGTGGCTTTTGAGCAGGCGATGCGCGAACTGTCGGGGTTTGGGTTCAAGGTGGACGGAGTCATAACTGATGGGGGAACTAGTTTCAAGACGGTGGTGGCTTCCATGGGGTTCAAGCATCAGCAGGACGTGTGGCACATGGCCAGGACACTTATAAAGGCATTGCTGCGAGAGTTATTGGATGCTCGCAAAGACGAAAATATGAAGGTAGAGGCGGCACGGACCAGGACCTTTGGCACATCAAGAAATCAGCGTTATTCGGATGGCTTGAAAAGACGGGGAGGAAAAGGGATCTGACAGTTTCGTCCACCAAGGAGGCGCTTATAAGGGCGGTGTGCTCCGGTCTTGGCACCATCGCTTTCAAGACCATCGATCCTTCGGAGGCGTCCTATAAGCATGTGGTTGTGCGATTGGCTGGGACAGGCACTGGAACAAATCATCTCGCAGAGGCGATTCGGGCACTTGATGATGCACCCACAGTGCCGTCGGAGGGAGATACAGCGGCTGACAGCAATGCGGTAGTGTTCGAGGACGTGGCTCAGATGTTTGCCTGGGACCCACACCCAGTGTACGGGGCACGCCCGTTGTCATACGCATCACTGCTGCTGGCACAGGAGGTAGCTGGGCGATCAGACACGGTTGCGGCAACTACAGAAACCGGGGCTGAAATGACAGAGCAAGGTGAGACGCTCGACTTTCTTTGTGTCATTACATGCATGGGTTTGTTTTATTCGCGCATTGTATCTCACTAAGCCCCCCCACTACCGCTTCACACATTCACTATCTTGGGTGTCTAATGTCAATGCGGTTCCACGTTTCCCTCACTAATGCATTTGTGCTCCTATGACATGCTTCGTCCCTGTAGAAGAAGTTGCGGCCACCCTGGCAGAGATTGGGGAAGTCAGGGATCGCGGGTGGTGGGACGACACGGGGGAAAACCCGGAACCCAGTATTCAACCACCAATGGGCCGTGATGCACAAGCCAATGTCAAGGCCAGAGAAGGGGAGAGGCGGTGGGTGCGCAAGGCGAAAAGAAGTAGGCGCGCCAAGGCTACGGAGACAGGAGGTACTGATAGGGGGATTGATCCACCCGAAGGCATGGCAGCTGTTGAAGAAGTCAGTGTTGCCCAACGGTACAGCATACACTTTCATCATGTGATGACGTGGTGTGCCACGCTTGCTAAAGAGGGCCGGCCCATGTCTCCTAGTGATGTAGCAGATGAACTTGCTTTATCTGCAGAGCATTGGGCTGGAGATCACTCAAGATGTGCACGGCATGGCATTATCCCGCGGTGTGTAGCCGATTCGTGGGGTCCCGAGAGT